TATGCATCAAAAATGTAGCTTTAGCGATCTCTGATGCACAATATATCAACCAATCATATTCAACTAGGTGATCTACAGAACCGACTATTTTTTAATCCCATGTCCAAGATGTTAAACCCAACCCCACTTCAGCGATTGAGCCAATCAATTCATACGGAACCAATTTGCCTCCGGTTGGAGCATTTATAGTAGTATCAGTATTTACATTTTGGATACTTCCACCACGGTTATTACCTACAATCATAACGTCTGATGGTAAAGAAGATGATGATGGCATTGGAACTTTTTGACCCGCTACAGCACCTGTCCTTTTTGGTGGCGGACCTTTTGTCCCAACATCAGTAAATTTTTCTTCTATGACACGAAATCTAATAGTAGTATCTTTATCCATATACATATATAGATACTTATCTTCGGGTGTTGCCCAGTTTTCCTCTGGAATTTGACTATCCCACAAACGCACCCACACTTGAGTTTCGTGATCACTTATAATTAATTAAACAATCGATTTAAAGTAATTTAAAGCAAACAAGATTATACTTAATGACATATGATTTATATGATTTATCTGTGTAGAGAGAATAAATTAACTGACTTACAACTTCCATCCGTCATCATTGTGTGTAGGAATCAATATATCATCAAAATAACCTAAAGTCACTGTCCATATAAACGAAAAATCTAATCAATCTACATTCGTAAAAATAGTCAAGCAACTGGTTTTTTTTATTTTTTTATTTTTTTTACCTTTGACACCTTCAAATGTATTACTAGATATGGTTCCTTCAATTATTTCACCAATAAATGGACGGAACACAACTAATCGAAAAGTTACTATAAATTAAGAAAGAATGTCAACTACACATTCATTTTTGAACTACGAAATTTCAAAGTCAGGAATTTATAGAAGCAGCAAATACCTTTCGCATAGCTCGCGCCATCACCATAATGGACAATTTCTTCACTTGCAGATATTATTTCGAATAAGCATATACAAAGGCCTACATCTTGAATAACCTTTGTTCGTGTTGTTTAGCCAAGAATCTTAAAAATAATTTGCAGAAATTCCAAATTCTTGGTAGTACCTTATTTGCATATATGCGATTGATTTCGTCAGTTAACGCATCGAATTTGGGTTTATGAAAATCATACGGTTGAATATGAATTGTGTCTCTCAAGACTGTTAAGATAAACATTTTTAACACGCAGTAATTATGTGAAGCGCGAGAAGTGAATTTCTGGGTAAAAAAACTCTGGTTGCAAATGTAGATCACCTAGTTGAATATGATTGGTTGATATATTGTGCATCAGAGATCGCTAAAGCTACATTTTTGATGCATA